TGGTCAGTTCATTTGTGGCAGGAGATCCGCTGCACCCACAGCTGCTTGATATTTGGTCAGTTCTGAATATCTTCAGAGATCATGCAGGAGATGAGCCTTGGTTTGAGAGTGGAGACTTTGAAGTGGGAGTTCTGAGTTTTGGATAATTTTTGTTCCAAAGGAGGTGACAAAATGGTTATTGATCAAGATACTATCAACCTATCTTGTTACTTGAGCGCTGACTCCTTACAGATCTACTAACCTTATGAGGGTCATTTTGAACTCAAGTGGCTTGAAACTCAAGAGTTCAAGTACCCGGTATCCTCTCTTATTTGGCTGCCTGTAATTTGAAGCATTCTTCATTACTGGCATTCAATAATCGGCCCTACTTGGTGGCTCCCCTTTTTTTCTTTATTTATTTGTCTACCATTTACTTTTTTGTTCTCATTGGTAGCTTGCTCTTTCCATTCTGATTTGCATTTGGAGTTGATCTCAAGAAGATTGGGCTCCAACATCAAGGATGTTGCTTTTGGTTTGTGTTCGCTTCCTACAAGTAAGGTGAAGCTTGAGATCTAAGGCGTCAAAGTTTTGATAGAATTCAAGGTGATTCCTGCATTTTATCAATGCCTTAAGTGGCGATTAAAATTATATAAAGTTGTGTTTTTACTATTTGTTAGATATGACTCATATATTATAAAGGAACATATGCTGGAGTGGAGCAGAAGATTCTGTTTAAATCAGGGGGTTTTTTATGTGGGTTGGGGGTTGGGTGAGGGATAATTTAATAATTATATATTGTACCTGAAGTTTACTTTAATATTCTTTATAGAGTTATAAATAATTTTATTTGTAATCCTAGGTTATCATGTTCTCTTTTTCTGAGTTAATGAAAAAGCTGCTGCTATCCACTGAGGACGTAGACATTCTAAATCTTGTCTGTTCTTCTCGATTTTTGCCGATTACTGTTTTTCTGGGCATAGGCGAAGGTTTTGCGGTTTGAGGCTTTCGCAGAGGAAATTGGGAGAAGTTCCTGTGATCCGGGAAGAATGGAGTTCGCGCTTTGGCGAGGGCTTCGGTTTGTGAATCGCGGCATTCTACCCGGAATTCTTCCGCCTGCGACACCAGGGGATTCGCGACCAGCAGAGGGAGTTCGGCGGATTGCGACGTTTTGGCCGGAAAGGTTCGCAGCGGCAGACCAAATCCGCGATACAATTCGCGATTCGACAGCGAAAGGAGTTCGTGGCTTCGGTACAGGTACAGCAGGAGTTCGCGAAAGGCTTGGATCGCGACGCAGAAGGGTTTCGTATCTTCCAGCTACAGGAGAGGTCGCGACGCAGAAGGGTTTCGTGACATTTTCCGATTCGGCGCAGTGGAAGATGCGATTTTTAGGTTCCACGGTTCAGGTACAGCACAGGTGAATTCGATAGAGTAGTTCGGGTTTTCGTTTGCGATCGGAGGGTTTCTTCCGCAGGAGCAGTTCGCATAGGAGGAATTGGAATCTATTTATTTTCTTTGCTGGAGGCCTAAAGGAAAGTTTTTGAAATTCAGTTAATTAAAAGAATTATACAGAGACTTAAAGTTTAATTAATAAAATATTTCAATCTTTTCTTTTCAAAAAAAAATAATTAAGAAATTTTTTTCTTAAATCTTTTTTTTTAAAGAAAGATTCTGAGAAAGTAATTGTAGAAGAATTTGTAGAATAATTTGTTTCAAGAATAATTTCAAATGACAATTTCTGATTCAAAATTCGAGGTTGTGAAGTTTGATAAAACTAGTAACTTCGGATTGTGATAAACAAGAGTAAAAGATATGTTGACTCAACAAGGAATCTTGAAAGTTTTACGGGCAGCAAAACTAAATGTCATGATGGATGAAGATTGAGAAGAATTACAACAAAGAGCGGCAGCAACTATACGTCTATGTCTGACAGATGATGTTATGTATCATATAATGAATCTAAAATCTTTAGGGGGGGTATGAAAGAAATTGAAAATTCAGTTTATGACTAAATCTCTGACGAATAAATTATATCTGAAGCAAAAACTATATGGGATGAAATGCAAGAAGGTTCTGATCTGGCGCAGGATGTTAATGATTTCAATCAAATAATCACAGATTTATTACGATTTGATATGACAATTGAGGATGAAGACCGAACAATGGTTTTGTTGTGTTCACTGTCTTCTTTCTATGAACACCTGGTGACTATTCTTACATATGAGAAAAACTATTAAAGTTGATGAGATTACTGCAGCATTGTTGGCTCACAACCAACGGAAGCAGAAGGGGAAATCTCTCATAGCGATAATTTATATGTGAAGGGTAATCAGGATCATAGAAGAAAAAAAAATGATGGTTCTAAAAGGCGAAATTTCAGATCCAAATTTAAAGGCAAAAAGACAATTCATTGCTACAATTGCAATGAGTCAGGTCATATGAAGAGAGATTGTCCAAAACTCAAGAAGCAGACTGGGGAGAAAGGTGATGGATCATCGAAGTCTGTAAATGTGGTGCAAAGTGACAATTCAGATTGCAGTGATGGCGATATGCTTTCATTATCATCAACTCAGTTCACGGATGCATGAATTCTTGGTTCAGGATGCTCTTATCACATAACACATAACAGAGAGTGTTTTACTTCATACAAGTCAACTAATTCTGGCTCAGTCTATTTGGGTGATGATAGATGCTGCAATATAGTTGGCTACAATATTATTGGTATTTGAGAAGTCAGAATTAAGATGTATAATGACACAGTTAAAATATTATGTGATGTCAGACATATTCCAGATATGAAGAAGAATTTGATTTTCTTGGGAACTTTACATATAAATGGTTTTATTCCTAAGACAGATGAGGATTGTAAAACCATCAGAATTGTTAAGGTTGCACTGACGGTGATGAAGGGAAAGTTAACTGCATGCAATATCTACAAATTGTTGGGGAGTACAGTTGTAGGTGGAGTTCATTCTGTGGAGTCAGATAATGATAATACAAAACTATGACATATATGTCTGGGTTATCTCAGTGAACGTGGGATGACGGAATTGCATAGAAGAAACATGTTGCATGGTGTTAAAAGTTGCAAACTCGATATTCGTAAGTTCTGTGTTCTTGGAAAACATACTAGAGTCAGTTTTTTGATTGGAAAACATAAAACTGAAGGGATTCTTGATTATGTGCATTCTGATGATGGGGCCCTAATAGAGAATCGTCATTGGAAGTATCTCAGTATTTTGTTACCTTTATTGATGATTTCTCCAGGAAAGTTTGGGTATATTTTTTGAAGCAGAAATCTGAAGTCTTCTCTAAATTCAAGCTGTGGAAAGCTAAGGTGGAGAACTAAACTGACAGAAAGATCAAGTATTTGAGACTCGATAATGACACGGAGTACACAGATTTACAGTTTCAGAAGTTCTGTGAGGAGCATGAGATTCAGAGGCATTCTTCAGTGCGCAAGACACCACAACACAATGGCGTGGCAGAAAGGATGAACATGTCCTTAACTGAAAAGGGAAGATATTTGAGACTGAATGCAGAGCTTTCTAAGAGTTTCTGGGCAGAGACTCTGAATATGACATGTTATCTCATCAATAGATCACCTCGTGCATCGTTGGGTGGCAAGGCCGCAGAAGAAATATGGACATGTAATATAGTTAATTTCGATTATTTACAGATTTTTGGTTGTCCTGCTTATGTGCATATACTTGTAGATGAAAGATCAAAACTTGATGCAAAATCCAAGAAATGCATCTTTCTGGGCTATAAGAAATGTGTGAAATGATACAAGTTTTGGGATTCGATTGCAAAGAAGATGGTGATCAGTAGAGATGCAGTTTTTGATGAACAGTTTATGTTACAACAGAATCAAGACATGGTGCAAGGGAACAGTTTCAGTTCAGATGTAGTGTAGATGGATTTAGAGCAACATCCAAAAACAATTGAGAGAGTTGATTGTTTAAATCTAACACCCGGTGATTCAACTCCAGATGATCTGCAGAATTATAATCTAGCCAGAGACAGACAGAGACACACCAATATAAGACCTCCTAGCAGATTGAGTTATGAAGACTTGGTCTCTTATGCACTTTTCATCAGCAGCGATGATCCAACCACTTTTCATGTAGCTATCACTAGCCAGAAGAAAAAGAAATGAATTGGTGCAATGGTTGAGGAGATGAAGTCTTTGCAGAAAAATTGCACATGGGAGCTAGTTCAGCTTCCTGAAGGAAAGAAGACTATTGGGTGCAAGTGGGTGTACAAAAGGAAACCAGCAGTATCAGGAAAATGAGGTGAAAAACTCAAGGCTCGACTGGTAGCAAAGAAATTTTTAGAGCAGAAGGAGATATATTATGATGAAATCTTTTCTCCTGTGGTCAGATATACTTCAATCAGGACAGTGCTTGCATTAGTAGCCATTTGAGATTTGTATTTGGAGCATATGGATGTTAAAACTGCTTTTTTGCATGGTGATCTGGAGGAACATATTTACATGAAGCAACCAGAAGAGTTCACTCAACCTAGACAAAAGCATCTGGTTTGCAAGTTAAAGAAATCGCTGTATGGGTTGAAGTAGTCTCCAAGACAATGCTACAAGTGGTTTGACTCCTACATGATTCAGATTGGCTACAAGAGATGTGAGTATGTGAAGAGCCTTGATGATCGTTCTATTATTTTGTCGTTCTATTATTTTTCTATTAATGTATGTTGATGATATATTGATTGCTGCAAAGAATATGAATGATGTCCGTGGTTTGAAAGTTTTATTGAGCCAGGAATTTGACATGAAAGACTTGGGTCCTACGAAAAAGATTTTTGGAATGGAGATTCATCGAGACAGAGACTCAAGACGATTATGTTTATTTCAACGAGGCAATGTTAAGAAAGTGCTGGATAGGTTTGAGATGAACAAAACAAAGCCTGTAAGCACTCTTTTGGCAAATCATTTTAAGCTTTCTTCAGAATAGTGTCCTAAGACATACAGAAATCGAAGACATGACAAATGTTCCATATGCCAGTGCAGTTGGCTGCTTGATGTATGTAATGATATGTACTCATCCTGATTTGACTCATGATGTTAGTCAAGTCTGCAAATACATGGCTAAACCTAGAAGGTGACATTGGGAAGCAATCAAGTGGATTTTTAGGCATCTGAAGGGTACTGTAGGACATGAAACTATTTTTGATAGGCAGTAGAATGATCATTTAGTTGTGGGGTACGTTGATTCAGGCTATGCTGGTGATTTGGATGACAGACAGTCTACAACTGGGTATTTGTTTACTCTTGGTGGAGGGCCTATATGTTGGAAATCAACAATTCAGTCTATTGTGGCATTATCTACAACTGATGTTGAGTACATGACAGTAGCTGAAGCTGCTAAAGAAGCGTTATGGCTTACTAGGCTAGTAAAGGAACTGGGCATTGAGCAAGGTGGAGTTCAGTTGCATTGTGACAGTTAGTGTGTTATTTATCTAGCTAAAAACCAGGTGTATCATGTGAGAACCAAGCACATTGATGTCAGGTATCACAAGATCTGAGAATTGATTGCTTCTGGTGAGATACTGTTGCAGAATGTTCATACTGATGAAAATACAGCTGATATGTTGACCAAGTCAGTTACTATCAACAAGTTTTTGCATTGCTTGAACGTGTTGAATGTTTGCAGGTGCTAGAGAAGCATGGTGGCCCAACCCACTTCTGGTATGTAAAAGACTCTATGACGTATTTATCCTAAGGGGTTGGATATTCGCTTAGGTGGAGATTTGTTAGATATGACTCATATACCATAAAGGGACAGATGTTGGAACGGAGCGGAGCAGAGCAGAAGATTTTGTCCAAATCAGGGAAGACTTCTTAAAGTCTTCTTATGTGGGTTGGGGGTGCGGTACATGGGTAATTTGGCAATTTCATCTTGTACCCAAGATTTCTTTTTACATATTGTACCCAAGATTTCTTTTACAGCTCTTTTTAGAGTTATAAATAGGTCTGTTTGTAATCCTAGGTTATTTTATTTTGTATCCTGTACTATTTTTCTGGATTAGTGGAAAAGTCGTCGCTCTGCTCCCGAGGACATAAGCATCTTTGCCGAACCTCGTTAAATCTTTGTGTGTTCTTCTGGATTTGTGTCAATTTTATTTTTTTCGCCCTAATTTCTCAACACTGTTATTTTCTTAGAGCATTGAATAACAAATTTTATTGAACTAGAAATAATAATATCAAATGACTTTTAGTTCTAAGCAATTCAAGAGTTTTATTCTTTTTTGTTGATTTGAGATGTAAATGTTGGAAAAAATGAGAGAATTGTTGAGTTTTGGAGCTCGGTCCGACCGTTCCCACTTCTGATCGCGAAACATCGCGACACCGCTCCCGCTCCCGATCGCGCCCAACTCCCATTTTCGTCTGGTGTTGATTCACGAACAGCGCCAACCGCTCCCGCCTTCCTCTGTCGCGAAACCAAGCATCCCTTAGCTCATGTGTGGTTCGAGCAATTCCGGGTGGGGCATGTGTGGTTCGAGCTTCAAGGCTTTTTCTTCGGCAGTTTTTGGCGTTGGTGCGCAGTAGAAGGTAGAAGAAGAAGAAAGGTATCGCACGGCTGCCCTTCAATTTCTACGACACAGCCTTTTTTGTGTTCTTCTTCGGGCTTCCTCGGGACAGAGGAAGATAAATGCAAGCAGTAGTTCCTTGCGGTAGAAGGAAGAAGAAAGAAGAAGAAGAAGATTGTTCTCCCTTGACTTCTTCTTGGCGGCTTGTGGCAGAAGAGAATTTGGGTTTATTTCTCTTGTAAGTTTATTTTTTTCGGTGTATATTGGTGTAAAGTTTTCTTCGGTGTATCTTGGTGTAAAGTTTTCTTCGGTGTATCTCGATATAGAGAGAGAAGAACAAAAAGAGAGAAGACAGAGAGCAACGAAGAGTGAGAGATTCCTCTTGTAAGTCGAGGTGATTGACTGGTGTAAATTCCTCTAGTACGTTACTATTTTCTGGTGTGAATTTTATCGTTTTATTTATTCGCTTTCTCGTCTATTCTTCTATTTTATTTCGATATATTTCAGCACCTGAATGATTTAAATACTATCAAAAATCAATTATCGACTGTTAAAATTGATTTTGATGATGAGATACGTGCACTGATATTAATGACATCATTGTTAAATAGTTGGGAAGCCACGAGTATGACAGTTAACAGTTCTGCAGTTAAATCTAAATTGAAATGTGATGATATTCGTGATTTGATTTTGGCTGAGGAAGTGCGCATGAAAGATTCTGGAGTGATCACAGGTACCAGTTCGGCGCTGAATGTTTATTTCAGATGGAGATGACATGATAAAAACTCAAATAGAGGGAGATTAAAATCAAAGTCTGGTCAGCAGACAACCTGCTGGAATTGTGGCAAGGCTGGCCACATAAAGAGGAACTGTAGAAATCCCAAGAAGATTGAGAATGATAGCGCAAATATGATATCTGAAGAAGTACAAGATGCATTATTTCTGACAGTTCGTAGTTCTGTTAAAGATGAAAGTGAAGAGGAGAGTGGGTCCGAGGCACCCATTCCTATTGTTCCACAGCCA